CCCAGTGGACTGCACCTGGGATTTGTCTTCTGCTTTAAAAATCAGTGGGCATTTTTTAAAGTCCTTATCTTGCTTTATATTACTGACAACTTTCTACCTTTTTGAAACTCTCCTATTTTTTTGCTAGTGATGGGGGGGGTCCTTGAATTCAAGGCCTGAGTACTGCCCCTCAGCTCTTTAGCTCAAGGCAAGCACTCCACCACTTGAGCCACACTGCCACTTCCAATTTTCTGCAAGTTAATTGGAAGTAAGAGTGTCATGGACTTTCCTGCCCTGGCTGGCTTTAAACTGTGATCCTCAGATCTCAGCCTCCTAAGTAGCTAGGATTACAGGCATGAGCTTTCTCTTATGTTTTTAATATTCCTTCGCATTCTTTGTCTGTTCCTATTCTTCTGTCCATTTCTTTTTTTTTTTTTTTTTTTTGTAGGTAGCGGGGCCTGAACTCTGGGCCTGGGCACTGTCCCTCAGCTCTTCAGCTGTAGACTAGCACTCTACCACTTGAGCCTCATCCCCACTTCTGGCTTATGTGGTGCTGAGGAATCGAACCCAGGGCTTCAAGCATGCACGGCAAGCACTCTACCACTGAGCCACCTTCCCAGCCCCCTCTTCTTAACTATGATGTTGTCCATCATTCATTTCATCAATTATCTTCTTGCTCTCTTCATATTCTTCTGGAATGCCTTCATCCTCACTCATGGTCATTACTACAGGCTGACAACTTCCTGATTAATTGTCTATATGTGAATAGCAATTTATCCTAAAACTTATCAATGTAACAGCAATATATAGGAAAGCTAAAAACACAGCTTCTGAGAATCAGAGGATCAACTTAACTGTATAGTTCTGGCTGAAGGTCTCTTATGAGGTTACAGTTATCTAAAGCCTTGATGGGGCTGAAGCATATGCTTCTGAAGGGTTAAAGTCTTGAGGCAGTGACCACTTGTTGCTTGTTTAAGATCAGCAAATTCTGTCTAGCAAAGCCACACATGGTGGTAATCCAAACACGAAGTTGGATGTGTGCCTTTATAGCCCTGCAAATCTATTTTTTATTTTTGGGTCCAGTCTTGGGGCCTGAACTCTGGGCCTAGGCACTGTCCCTCAGCTCTTCAGCTCAAGGCTAGTGCTCTACTACTTGAGCCACAGCGCCACTTCCGGCTTTTTTCTTTTTCCTTATGTGGTGCTTATGTGCTAGAGTACTAGCCTTGAGCTAAAGAGCTGAGGGACAGCGCCCAGGACCAGAGTTCAGGCACCACAACCGGACCCCCCCAAAAAAAAAATCAGTCAGGGAATAGCTGAGGCACTGGGGACAGATTGGAAATTGCACTGTGCTTATAGATCCCAGAGTTCAGGGCAGTTAGAAAGAATGAATCGGACTCTAAAAGAGATCTTAACTAGATTGGCCTTGGAGACTGGCGCAGACTGGGTATCGCTCCTTCCTTTTGCACGAAATTCACCCTATCAGCTTGGCATTACTCATTTTGAAATAATGTATGGACACCTTCCACCCATTATCCCTAGCTTTCAGACTGAATTGCTTGCTGATTTGGATGATACTGAATTTCTGTGTAAGCTTGACTATTTACAGTTGGTGCATCAGAGTATGTGGCCCCAGCTTAGAGCATTATATGATTCTGCTTCTATTCCTAACCCCCATTTGCTTAAACCAGGGGACTGGGTGTTTGTTCGAAAGCACAACTTGAGATCTCCGGAACCATAGTGGAAGGGACCTTACATGGTACTACTGGCTACACCTACTGCCCTTAAGGTGGACGGCATTGCTGCTTGGATCCACTGCTCCTATGCCAGACTGGCTGACCCCTTTGCCCTGGAAGACCATGGGGAAACATGGGAAGTCTCCAAGCATCCTACCCAAGCATTCCGCATACGCCTCAAGGAAAGAAAGAGGAACTGATTGTTATTGGGATTGTTGTTTAATAGTATGGCTAAGGTCAGAGAGGGTCTATAACCGTTCAAGATCAAGAACTGTTGGAGTTTAGCTTGGGGCTGGAGCCACAAGATTGTGTCTCAGGACCATAAGTCAAGGTGGGGAATGAAGGGTTAAAGTCTTGAGTTTTACAACACTTCCAAGATAGCCCACTCATGTGGCTGTGACAGGAGCCCTTAACTTCTCTACCATATAAATTTCTCCACTGGCTGATTGAATATCCTTTTGACAAGGCATCTGGTTTTAGGCAGTGAGTGATACTAAGGAAAACAATGAAGAACTATAATATTTCATGACAACCCTGGAAGATATACACATAATTTCTGCAACACCCTATATAAGTCAGCCATATTTAATTTAAGGAAAGGGAACAAAGGAAAACTGGTAATCATTGATGGCTGCTTTGAAAGATGGTTACCACAGTACAAAAATTGGTTCTCTTCAGTCACTTAAAGTTCTATAAATATTTTAAAAAATTGGTTCTCTAATTCAGATCTATCACCTGAGCCTCAGACATGTAAACTCAAGTTACTTACTGGATAGCTATTGTTTATATATTATCTGTAAAAACCTGCCCTTTGATACAATGGTGTGTCCACCAAATGTTCTCCTGGGAGTTGCATGGGAGTAATAGTAGTAGTAGTAGCAGCAGTAGTAGTAGTGAAGGAGAGGCTCAAGTGGAAATGGAAGTAGCAGCAGCAGCAGCAGCAGCAACAGCAGCAGTAGTAGCAATTAGAAACTGGCTCTGAGTACTGTCAAATAAACTTCAAACTTAAAAGAGCACCTGTGTGTGAGGCAGGATGCCTGGTGCTTTAAAATATCTTACAATGACAAATGTCACATCATAGATGGGAAAACAAAGGTTGACTGTAACTTGCTTAACCTTGCCAATTCTATGGTTAGTGAACGGCAGTGTAGGGTCAAAATTCAGGGCTACTTTCCAGTTTTCTTGTCATTTTAATAAAACCACATTTTCTGACTTTAGAGTTCTGAGCTTTTGTTCTATTATCAGGAAGGCACTGCAGGCAATTCCACTAAAAGTAGCATGTCTTCTGCGGTAGAAAACCAAGGAGGGCTTGTTGTTGTTGTTGAGTCAGTTCAATGCCTTTGCAGGAAGATCTGTACAAGTAATTATTCAAAATTTATTGGCTACAAAAATTTAATCCAGGCTGCAAAATGATAGTTATCAAATTGTGTTGCTAAGTAATCTTTGCTAGAGTTATTCTACCTTTCTAGGTTAACAAAATGAAAAATAAAGTTATTTTCTAGCACACAATCTTTTTTCCCCTAACAATCTCTTTAAAGTCTCTCAAAGAGACAAGCTGTGGTAAAATGAAATTATTTTCCCACAGACTTTTTAAAAAAGTCTTCTCAGTGTCATCTCCAAAAAAATAAATGGTTTGTAAAAAAGAACCACTTTATTCAATACTGTAGTCTAAGAAAAAAATATCACTACTAAACAGTATTGGTACATCATGGAAACAGCAAAAAAATACCAACTTGAAGCTGAGTGTTGGTGGCTCATATCTGTAATCCTAGCTCACTTAGGAGGCTGAGATCGGAGGATCAAGTTTTAAAGCCAGGGTGAGCAACAAAGTTCGTGAGACATATTTCTAACAAACTATCAAAAAAGCCTGAGGTGAATGAGTGGCTCAAGTCAAGAGTACCAGCCTCGGGGGAAAAACTAAGCAACTGTGTCTAGAGTCTGAGTTCAAGCTCAAGTACACCAATACAAATAAAAATTTGATATTCCTTGTTTTCTATATTCTTTCTCCTTCCTTAATCATTACCGAATTGCACTATCATTAAAGATAAAACGTCCCTCCTACTGTGTCTTGTGACTTTAATGTACTGGGCTTTCTTCATGTCCAATCCAGTTTATTCTTTTGAAATTCAATGACTGCACATTTTAAGGTAACTTTATAAAGCAATGATCCAGAAAATTATTCCTTATTTTCTAGAACATGATTGTTAGAAGTCAGAGAACTAGAGATAGCCATCACTATGTAGTATTCAGTAGTAATCTAAACAGCAATATAAAGCAATGAAATTCCAAATAAGAAAAATATACAAACCACAATAACCAACAAGCAAATTTAACTTCTGTATGTTTAAAACAAGTTGGAAAGAGCAGAAGGCTAAAGACTCATCATATATTTGCCCTAGTGTAGAAATAGATAGTGCATACAGTACAATTGCACACCTTCTGTTTACATTGCTGTCCAATAATCTACCCAATGGCAACTCAAAACCCACAGGAGCAGCTGGCTGAAGCCTGTAATCCTAACTACTCAGCAGGCTAAGATCTGAGAATCATGGTTCAAAGCCGGTACGGGCAGGAAAGTCTGTGAGTCTCTTATCTACAATTAACCACTAAGGAGACATGGTCCATTTTATTTTTACAAATTTTCTCAATCAAAAAAAGGGCAAACAATGAGACACATATATAGATTTATTCACTATTAAGTAAAGGACAAAGGGTGAGACATTACAGACAACTCTGGTCAAGTAGACAACTAGTTACAAGTAAAATATTACTACTAAAAACATTAGTCATGTCAGGCGCTGGTGGCTCAGATCTATAAGCGTACCTACTCAGGAGGCTGAGATCTGAGAATCACGGTTCAAGCCAGCCTGGGCAGGAAAGTCCATGAGACTCTTTTTTTTTTTTTTAATTTTATTTGTGAAGATACTGTACAGAGGGGTTACAATTACATGGGCAGGATAATGCGTACATTTCTTACCAAGCATTGCAGCCTCCTCCTTTTGTTTACCCTTCACATCCTTTCCCAGCCTCCCCCCTCCCCCCCAATCCCAATCTTTCTCCTTCACCCCCTTCCGCCCCCCCCTCCCTGGCACCAACGTTGTAAAGCTTGTTTTGGACATGACAACTTGTACTTCTCATTGTTGCAACAGGTCCACCTGTATCTTTAAACAACTGGTTTTTCCCCATCTCCTCCTCAAGTTATACTGACATCAAATATATTGAAAGCAGGGGTTATACTGTGGGGGAGGGACATACAAAGCAACAAAGAGATAATCTTATAAGTGCATTAGAAACACACGCATGAAAGAAAAAAACATTAAGATACATATCTAAGGGTTCAATTTCCTGACATCACATTATCTGACCTTTTCCACTTGACTCATAGTCCATGAGACTCTTATCTCCAATAAACCACAAGAAAACCTGAAGTGCACTGTGCCTCAAGTGGTAGAGTGCTTGCCTTGAGCTAAAGAGCTCAGGGACAGCACCCAGGCCCAGAGTTCAAGCCTCATGACCAACAGAATAAAATAAGTATTTGGACTTGCAACACAATGAATGCCAAATACTTAAAACGTGTTTTATAGTATATATTAATTGTAAAAAATAATGAGTTTTATTGTGACATTTTCACACATGCATATGTGAATGTACTTTGTCTCTGATCATCTTTCTCTTTCCCTGAGTCCTCTTTACATTTGTAGACTTTTTTTTTTAAATTAAGGCCAATCTTGGATGGACGGACACAGTGCCTTGTAACATCAGTGATTTAATGGAGTTTAAATATTACCAATGTAAGCTACTCAGGAGTCAGAGATCTGAGGATCATGGTTCAAAGCCATCCTGGACAGGAAAGGCCATGAGACCCTTATCTCTAATAAACCACTCAGAAAACTGGAAGTGGAACTGATCTGATCCCCAACACTAACACTAACATAAACGATACAAAAACAAAGTACTTAACCAAGCAGTTATATCCTTTAGAAATTAATCAAATGATTAATTTAACACCTAGTAACAATAAAACTGGCAGACTAAACCATAATTTTGCCCCATTAGTGAAGTATAATTTTGGTAGTGTTAGAAGCTAAATTATATTTCCAACAAATATGTATATATATTGGAGGCCTAAAATTAGAATATGACTATATTTGGAGATAGGATCTTTAAAGAGGCCATTAAATTAGAATGAGGTTTCTACAAGTCTTAATCCAACATGGTTAATGAGCTTATCTGAAGTTAAAATTTGAACACATATACAGGAAGACTATGTGGAGACACAGCGAGAAGACAGACATCTACAAACTTCCAATTTCTAGTTTCACCCCAGACCTATACAGCATATGCACACAAAAACTAGGACACACACACACACACACAGAGAAAAATTCCTATATAGATACATGTCCATGGATACTTGCCCATACAATAGTGCATTATTATACTGCTATGACACATTATTGTACTGTGATTAATAACTGAGGCAACAGGACTAAATATTCTCCATGAATTGGATCTTCATTTACTAGAACGAACCAGATGGAAAATGAGAGGTAGTTAACAGTCAGCGAAGAGGGCATCATCTGTACCCTTTTCATCAGAAATCAGATGCCTAGAAAAATGGTAATACTACAGAGGCATCTGTAAGTATTAATCCATTTATTGCCTCCATTTCTCTGTTTCCTCCCTATTACCACTCAGTGACTCCATTTTCTCCAAGCACACTCCATCAAGCTTGCTCTTGTATTGCTTATTATTACAAATGATTGGGGGAAATTGTAGGGCATAGTATATCCACCAGAATATACTATGTAATATCTTGCCCTTGTGTTCCACATCTACAATTACATTTTCTTTGGTTTTCCTTAATATACTGCTGATAAAATATCTTTAAAGCAAAACACTTTAAAATTCCAAGTGCACAAAATCAGGCACAGTGGCACATGTAAACCTAGTTTACCTGTGGAGCTGAGATCATAGCTTAGGGCCAGCCTGGGTGTTTAGAAAGACCTCAGCAGAAAGAAGGAAGGAAGGAAGGAAGGAAGGAAGGAAGGAAGGAAGGAAGGAAGGAAGGAATGAAGGAAGGAAGGAAGGGAGAGAGGAAGAAGGGAGGAAGAGAGGAAGGAAGGAAGGGAGGGAGGGGAAAAGAGGGGAGAGGAAAGAAAGAGAGGGGAGGGAAGAGAGGGGAGAGAAAAGAGGGGAGAGGAGGGAAGAGAGGGGAGGGAATAGAGGGGAGGGGAGGGAAGAGAAGACAGAGGAGGGAAGGGAGGAAGGATGGAAGAGGAGGGAGAGTGAAGGGGAGGGAGAGAAGAGAGAGGGAAGAAAAAGGGAGAAGAGAGGGAAGAAAGGTGGAATGATAGGGGTAGAATACGGAAAGGGAGGGAGGAAATGAAAAATGACCCAAATACTGCTTTTTTGCTGTTGTTCATGTCGGTTGTGGGACTTGAACTCAGGGCCTGGGGATTGCCCCTGAGCTTTTTTGTTCAAGGCTAGCGCTCTACCACTATGAGCCACAGCTCCACTTTCACTTCTTGGTGATTAATTGGAGTCTCATGGACTTTCCTGCCGGAGCTGGCTTCGAACTGAGATCCTCAGATCTCAGCCTCCTGAGTAACTAGTAATTACAGGTGTGAGCCACCAGTGCCTGTGGCCCCAGTGATGTGTTGATCAGCTAAATAAATACTTTGCTGCACAAGAAATTTTTGAGACAGGATCTCATTATGCTGTTCAGGAGGCTAGTCTAGTTTGGGAAATATTTCATTTTTCTTTCTTTCTTTTCTATTTATCCAGGAAATGGTCACTCCCCAGGCACACGTGAGGCTCCACACCAGTTGGCTTACATTTTGGAGAGTTTGGATGCCAGGACACCGGTCACTTTAGCGAAGCGCAGCTGGGACAGCTCCACCTTCAGGCCGTCCAGCTTCTTTAGCAGCTCCTCCTCCTTTCTGCCGCGCAGATCCGGAGCGTGAATCTTAGCCTGCGCCGAAGAGGTCCGAGTTCAGTCACACCGCCAGGCCTCTCGGCACCTCAGGAAGCCGCGGCCGATTCGGTCCCCGCCGGCTCCCCAGCAGGGCCGCCACCCCCTCAGCAGACGGGAAGCTTCAGAGCCGGGTGCGCGCCGACTCCGCGGTCCGAACGCGGGGCCAGGCCGTCCTCAGCTGCACCTCACAGACCGTTGCGGCAGACAGATGAGACCCCCCCACACACACCCCAAGTGCAGCCCGCGGCCCCTACCAACTCACCAAGCTCCCGTGACCCAGCGACACTGGGATGGCACCGAATCCCTCGGCCCTCACCATAACCCAAGTTGCTGCCTCGGTCGGAGGAAGAGACGAACCGACGGTTGGAAGCTCCGCAACTACCGCGGCCGGACAGCGCCCGACGTTGCCAAGAGCAACCGTCCCGAGGATCCTGTCCCGCCCTCCTCCTTCCGGAGAGCGGCGGTAAGTCCCGCCCTGCCTGTCTCGCGAGCATTTTACAGCTTGGCCCGGTGCTGGAGTGAGCACCCCTACGGAAACTGAGGCCTGGAGTGCCCAGCAGGTAGTCGGAGATGTAGTAGTGAGGCTTGAATTTGACCATTAAGTGCTCTGTTTAATTCATTCATTCGGGCTGCTCAGCAGATTTCCCAGACTGTCCCTGAGCTAGGTGCTGGAGCCAGGAGAGTAAGTGAGAGGGTGTGGGGATGTTAGACTGAAGAGTTGAAGTAACTCCATTTTGAGGCAGCGGCCATTCTGTCATTTATGCTAAATTATGAGTGACCCAGAGCAAACATAAATTCCAGGTACTGACCTATCTGTGTTGAAGTTAACCAGAACTCACACAAATCCCAAGGACAGAGTTATCTTTGGCCACAAACTCCCCTCACTTCACAGATACCCCCTGCCCTTTATTGCCCTGGCCCAAATGGTCTGATAACACCCTATCACCTCTTATTGCGCTAGAAAGTGTTTTTAACACATCTGGTTGCTGTAACTTTGTGGCTTTTGCCTTTATAAGCCCTGTGGAATTTCAGCTCAGGGCCTTCCTCCTTAGCTCTGCTGTGTTGGTGTGTAGGATGAGGCTGGAGCTGCACCGGCCTGAATAAAGCCTTGTCTTTGAAATGTCTGACTCTCAGTGGTCTTCTTGGTGGGGGGTCCTGCAACGCAGGCATAACAAGACTAGTCCTGCTACCTTCCAATAAGAGATCCTCCTCCTGAGCTGCTCCTGTGGTGGGATTACAAGGTAAACCTGTAAGCAAAGAAGCTAGTGCTCTACACCGAACCAAAATGTTACTTCCAGTTTTCTGTTCAGTTGGAAATAAGAGTCTCACAGACTTTCCTGGCCAGGCTGGCTTTGAACCATGACCCTTGGATATCAGCCTGTTTAGTAGCTAGGATTACAGGTGTGAGCTTGCCAGTGCCTGGCTCTTTGTCTTTCTTTTGTACTGGTTATTGTTGTAAAGATTTGTTACTCAGCTACTGGGTGGCCACATGCAGAAGACTAAAAGTGGACCCCAGCCTATCACCATGTACAAACATCAACTCAAAAAGGATTAAAGACCTTAACATTAAACCTAAATCTCTGAAACTACTGGAGGACAGAGTAGGAGAGACACTTGAACTTAGATGCACAGGAAGGAACTTCCTGAACAGAGAGTCCCAGGGTCACAACTAATTGGAGAGAGACTGGACAAATGGGGCTACCTTAAAATAAAAAGCTTCTGCACAGCCAAAGCTATCGCAACCAACCTAGAAAGACAACCAACTAATTGGGAAAATATATTTACCCCCAATAAATCAGACAAGGGGTTAATAGCCAGTATATACAGGGAACTCAAGAAACTAAGCCCTCCCAAACCTAACAAACCAATTACTAAATGGGCAAGGGAACTGAAGAGGAACTTCTCAGATGAAGAAATAAAAATGGCAAAGAAACACATGAGGAAATGTTCACTATCCCTGGTTGTGAAGAAAATGCAAATAAAGACAACCCTGAGATACCACCTTACCCCAGTCAGAATGTCCCACATCCACAAATCAGCCATAGACAAATGCTGGAGGGGATGCAGAGAAAGAGGAACCCTATTACACTGCTGGTGGGAATGTACACTTATACAACCACTTTGGAAAGCAGTCTGCAGGGTCCTCAGAAAGCTAAATATTGACCTCCCTTATGACCCAGTCATACCACTTCTAGGCATCTATCCTGAACAACAGGAACCAGTATACAAGGACACATGCACCTCCATGTTCATTGCAGCACTGTTCACAATAGCTAGGATATGGAAACAACCCAGATGTCCCACCACAGATGAGTGGATCCAAAAATTGTGGTATCTATACACAATGGAATATTATGCAGCCATTAGAAAGGACAAAATAATGACACTTGAAGGGAAATGGATAGAGCTAGAAGAAATTATGTTCAGCGAGGTAAGCCAAGTGCCAAGAGACAAGTGGCACATGGTCTCCCTGATAAGTGGATGTTAAATCCAAAATGTTAGGTGATGTGACATAATTAACAGGACTTAAGAAAAAAGAACTTCCATTCATCTGGTTGAACCACTACTAAATAACCCCAGGTGTCGAGAGCCCTACAGGGAGTCTATCTGCATGTTAGGCTTGACTATCTTCACTGGAACATCTGGAGGCTGTTTACAGAATCTGGTCTTTTCATCCTGCCCCAAACAAAGACCAGGTAGCAGCTATGGACCACCTTTTCACACTGCCCTAAGCAAACATCCTGCAGCTGCTATGGCCAATGAAAAAGCTTCCTTATTCTAAGCATATAAATACCCCTGTGTGAAAAATAAAAATTGGCAGCTTGATCAGAATCCTTGTCTTGCTGTCATTCTTCTTGTCTCTTGTCCCTTCATTCCTTCTTGCTTAGGTTCATTGCCCTCGTTGAAGTCCTGCGGGTTGGGACACCCATGCTGCTGATCACATGTATGGTGTATATGTGTACACCATTGCATGTTATAGACCATGACAGACAATTTGCTCCAGGAAAGTTAGAATGTGTTTCTGACTTTAACTGAGCATCACTATCCCACAATACTGTGAAATTTGAGAAATTATGTAATCACTTAATTACAATTAAAAAAAAAACCACCAGAAAACTGGAAGTGGCACTATGGCTCATGTGGTAGAGCATGAGCCTTTAGCTGAATTGCTCAGGGACAGCTCCCAGGCCTAGATTTCAAGCCCCATGACTGACAAAAAAAAAAAAAGAGAGAGAGGGAGATCCTTCATGTGATTGTATCTAACATATTTATAAGATTGTTTCTTTGTTGCTTTTTAGGTCCCTCTCCCATGGTATAATCCCTGCTTTCACTATATATGATGTTGGTATATGTGGAGGAGAAGGGAAAAAAATCGTTAAAACAGGGATACAGGAGGAACCATTGCAACAACGAAATGTACAAGTCATTATGTCCATTTGGTTTTATTAGCCAAATGAAGATATCAGTAAAATACGGAGAACAAATGGATTTATTATTTTTAGACAGGACCTTGCTAGTAGGCCAGGTTGGCCTTACAGGTGTGTGCCACCATGTCTAGCACAACAACTAAAATTTCATATGTGTATATTCCTCTTGCAAAAAAAAAAAAAGATTGGAAACTATACAAAAATCTATAATGGGAGATGAAAAACCAGAGTAAGGGAGAGAAAAGATACAGCAAGTACACTGATCCAGAGAACCCATTTTCTGAAGTCTTGTTCCTGCATTACAAGGGTCATAAAATTCTGTGGCCAAAGCACAGAGAGAAATAAAATCAGTTACTCCACTTGCAGGATCCAGGGGGGAGGAAGGGAACACAGACACACACAGAGACACACACACACACACACACACAAACAGACACACACACACCCAGAGCTGCTTAGGAGAGGAGCATTCCTTTTTTTTTTTTTTTTTGGTCCAGTTGTGGGGCCTGAACTCTGGGCCTGGGTGCTGTCTCTCAGCAATTCAGCTCAAGGCTAGCACTCTACCACTTGAGCCACAGCACCGCTTCCGGCTTTTTTCTTTTTGCTTATGTGGTGCTGGGGAATCGAACCCAGGGCCTCATGCATTGCAAGGAAAGCGCTCTACCACTGAGCCACCTTCCCAGCCCCCTAGAGAGGAGCATTCCTATTGAGAAATTTCTCATAAAGAGGATGAGATGTAGTGAGTGAGGTGATGAGGGAGCAACATCACCAACAGCAGCTGTGTATGAATATAGTCAGATTTCCTGGGCCCAGAGGAAAGGTGCTTTAGTAACCATGACCCCTGAACAAATGGGCAAAACTTCTCCCATCTCCATCACCAGAGAAACCTACCTTACAGTGGTGTACAAAGCAGCGTAATTGCTGTGACTGCTGATGTTTCCTGTGTCGAAAGTCACCACCTGCAGAGACAGATGAGGACAAGGGGGTGCTGTGCTTTACAGGTGCTTTCTCCATTCTTCAGCTTCAAAGAAGCTGTCGTCATTGCCTTGGAAAAGAAAGGAGGAAACAGAGCCCAGAAACTTAACATTCTGAGAAGTGTGAACCAACTTCTCAACAGATTATGGTATGTAAGCAGTTTGCATGACAGTAACAAGGAGGCTGTTTCCATGGGGTTTACTTTTATTTCTGGCCAGCAAAGAAGAGTGTTATTCAGTCATGAAGAAACAGTTTTAGGATAGTGCTTATCTGCGTGGCCACTTACTAGCATTTACTTTTCCTGGCTGGCAATTAACATGAACTTTGTTCAAGTGGGTGCAGCCTGATTTCTTGGGGCCACCAGCACCCAGCTGTTCGGGCTCTTTTCCCCATGTGACACCGTAGGCACAAAAACTCTAAGAGTAAATGTCCACCACAGCCTAGGCTTGAGTTCATGGAAAAAGTTTATATATGATAGGCTGACTCTAATTCCATTTTCACAGACATGATCACATCTGTTTATTAATTGCAAACTCAGTCAAGGTTCTAACATTTCACTTTTGCACAGATGGATATTAAAAACACCAAATGGGGCTGGGCACCAGTGGCTTGCACCTGTAATCCTAGCTATCCAGCAGGATGATATCTGAGGATAATGGTTCAAAGCCAACAAGGCAGGAAAATCCATGAGACACTTTTTTTTTTTTGGTAGGTCATGGGGCTTGAACTCAGCCTGGGCGCTGTCGCAGTGCTCTTCAGCTCAAGGCAAGTGCTCTACTGCTTGAGCTCCCCTTCTGGCTGTTTAGTGATTAATTGGAAATGAGTCTCATGGACTTCTCTGCCTGGGCTGGCTTTGAACCATGATCCTCAGATCTCAGCTTCCTGAGTAGCTAGGGTTACAGGTATGAACTATCAATGCCCTTTTTGTTATTCTTACTCTCCATTTGTTATTTGGTCATGGGGATTGAACTCTGGGCCTAGTCGCTATCCCTCAGCTCTTCAACTCAGGGCTAGCTCTCTACCACTTG